TGCCCTCCACCTGATGCTATAACAAATATTCCCCTTGACCATTTCTGTAAGCGTGTTTTCCCCACAGTATCTTTATTGCACGACACCACTTCAGCCTCCTCACAGTCCTCGACCAATTTCACATTTTTTACCATGAACATCCTGGTACCTTTAAAAGTAGAATTGAAAAGAATAACAACCTCGATCAATGCATATCAAACTAAGTTCAAGCAATTTCTTGGACGGAAATCAATGTTTTGTCGTGTGACACACCATAAAAGACGCTTCAATTGTATCTTGGGATTAACAACATAAACTCTATTCTCTAGCTAATTAATTAAGTGTAGCTGACTAAACTTTAAAAAATATTCTCTTTATCACGTTTATAAACGGGATCACAATCTGATATCACGAATCCATTAGCTGGAATACTGCCAATTTATATTGTATATTATATATAACATATATTTTGAAGCATCTGGCATACTATACCTTGATATACTGCAGCATTATCTTCACTGCAATCAGAGATATCTAATTCCAGATCTTCCAGTAGATTAGTAGGGTCTACAAATGTCGGGCAAATAGGTTACATTTCGGAATTATGTCAGCACTATCAAGAAGCCTATATGTAACTTTAATTAATGAATTTTTGTAGTTCTGCATGCGTGATTATCTCAACATGCTTTATATACCTTTATTCTTGTTTTTGCAATACTGCAAAAATTCCTTTAAACCTGTAGGAATGCTTTTGCTCATGACCATGGCCAAATGCCTATCACAGAATGCTGACTTGTACTCTGGATTCCGGGGACAAACTTTTGGATAATTTATTCCTTTTCATATTCAACAATAGTGACAGGAACTGGAAACATACAGTGTGCATAACACAGCTTCCAATTCCCATCTAAAACATACAGTTTTCCACAACCTAGACATTTACAAACAGAATCACGTATCATTCATGATTTCTATAATCTTACTATACTAGTATTATTAACTAACATGTATTTACTAACACAAGTATTTAACTATATGATTCGATGTTTTAATTACCTTTACTCCCACATCCTTTGAAACATTCATGTCCATAGGTATTTGAAACTTGATTTGCCACAATGTATTCAGTGGCAGCATCTTTGGAACCAGACAAATTAGTAGCTACTTGCGCTTTTGTGAATACCCACTTACTTGCTATACAGTCTATACCCATGTCACAAAGCTCCTGATAAAGCTCATATTCCCAGAATGCTATAGCAACTGATTTACGGTGAAGTTCACCAGGAATGTGAGCTAAAATAAAGTACACGCATAGTACTACAGTATACGTATAAATATAACTGCATGAAATTCAATATTAGACTACAGAATTATTAAGGACAATTATCTTAATTTATCATTTTTACCTTTATCAGCTTTGTGTTTCAAAGGCAATTTTTGTTGCGGCACAGCAGGTATTGAGCATATCATCTTCTAAGAAAATATACACAATGTATATTGTTTATTTGATATATGAAATCTTTATCTACAAGGTGTATAAAAAAAACTGAACCGATTTGAAATTGCTCTCCATTTCGCAAAACAGCTATTAGTATCCAGTGTTTGATATATATAGCTTCTTTGGTAGTTTATAATGTACAATAATGAATAAAATTTCTCCAACTCAAATTTTGTAAACCAGGGGTGTTGTCTTTTCCAACAAACTAAAAATGGCTGGCGCACGAGAATTAAAAGCTTTATTCGTATTTTGAGTTAATGGGTGAAAAATGTGTTGGACGTTTAATTGCTGCACAAAATTCCAGACAATTTGCTTCAGTTTAAGCCTGTTAACTATTTATACGCAAACTTGCATTTTTTCTGAAAAATCACCTTTTGCATGCGCAATTAATGCTTTGCCTAATTTGCATATGTCAGCAATATGCAAATTAGGTGAAGGTTAAAGCATGCGAAAGGCTGATATTTTAGGGGAAAATGAATAGTTAAAGGCTTAAACTAAAGCAACTTGTCTGAAATTTTGTACAGTAAACACATGGTAGCACTGGGTTTCTTTTGTTTGAACAGGGACGTTTAATCACGTGTTTCCCTCATTACCCATGCATACACTTTTGTCTTCTAAATTTCCTCGGGAAACGGGGAAATTTAGTTGAAAACAAAAGATTTCCTTGTCTTCTAATTTTCCCCTGCATGCTTGAGGGAAATTTAGAAAACAAAAGCGTACCTCACTTAATACCTCTCATTGGAGAGCTGTACCTCATTGAAAATCATCGGACAGTATCTGACGACACCGTCCCGTACACATTCGGACAATCACTTTGCCAGTTTTTATTCTGCAATCCCTGAAAAGAATGAACACGGGGATGTTTTTCTCCGCGTACGTATATATGAAAAGTGTTCATCCCACAATCATAAGACAATCAAACACCACGCGCGATTCCCTCGGCTACCATGTTTTTACAAACTAAACGCATGCTTTGAGGGAAATTAGTAATTAAATGACCCCGCAAACCTTGGGAGGTTTAGTAAAAGTAAACCTTCCTCGGTTTGCGGGGACATTTAATCACTAATTTCCCTCAAAGCATGCGTTTACTTATAATAATTAAAAACCCAACATATTCTTCAACCCAACAACTTTTGTTTTACAAAATTGAGAGCAATTTCAAATCTGTTCAGTTCACACCCTGTATAATATAGAGTATATATATGCATGTTTTAATTAAAATTAATATATCAACATTTCATTCCGTAATGCGGGTGCAATTAATTTTTGAGTGTTGACACTAGCACCAGGATAAATTAAATGAGAAAAACTGTTTAGATATTATATTGATCAGATGGAAATACTAGAATGTCATTAGATCATGATCGGATATTTTCTTGGGGGACAGCTAGGTTGTTTAATTAAAAAATTATTTCAAAAACTTTCATGATGACCTGTAATGGCATCAACCGCAGTCGAGCCAAATGCATCGTAAGGGCCCTAGGGAGTTACAGAATGATTACAGAAACAACATCCTCCATGAGTAATTAGAGCATTTTACGTATACTGCACATATGTTACTTAATTAGCCTTAGTAATGTCATTGTCATCTATAAATTACCTGATGTATCGTGCACAGGTTCCTCGTCGTTGTCATCATCCAATTCCAATTCTCCGTCAAGGAATTCTACAAGGTTCATTGCAATATATAGTTTAATAATTTTATCTTCATAGCCATAGGTCCAGTTTCTAATTTTGTGTGAAAGTAGATAACTATAAGTTAGTAAACGTATAACAACCTTACGCTCACTGGACACTGAATTATTTGAATACATTGAAATTTAGTTAATTGTATGGTTAGTTAACAGCATCTACAGTTTATTTCAATTCCGCAATTTAAAAGCTAGACAGGCGGACATACATAGTTTTTTTTTACTCTTTAAAATTTAAAAATTTAACGTTTAATTTTTCAAATTTTAAAAGTTGCATGAAGAAATTTTTAAACATGCATGACAGGTTTTATCAGTATTATAAAATACATGAATTCGAGACACTTTATAATAGAAAGCTTTATAATATGATAACAATAACAAGGTCAAGGAATTCTTGCTCTTTTACATGACAAGTGACAACCATATTGAAAATTATAGATACATTAGTTGCTTACCATCTGAGAAACTGGGGACAAAATTTTTATGCTTGTTGTCATTTTGATCTCCTGTAACATCTAAATGCGATTCATGTTATTATAAACTATATTAAAGTATTTTTATATATTCGAAGAAATGAACTAATAGTAATAAGTCCAAGAATGTAAATGAAATTACCCGATTCAAAATTTTCTCTAATTTTGCGACTGAACAACTCATTATAGGATACTGAAAATCCCTCAAATGAAACAAAACAATGATTCCTGCAAAAAGAAAATAGGTCATATAACTTGTGTTTAATATTGCTGATATCCATGCATGCAGGCAATAAATGTGAAGTTGAACAACCGCAAGTTGAACAAACTTAGAGTGGTCATCAGACGTCATACAAAGAAATTAAACTGAATTTACTATGTCTATACCAATACCGTATATATTTAATATCTATATTTTAATTACTTACATAAGGGACGGTAGCCATCTGTATAATCTTTTCTCCATGTATACAACATTGGTCACTTCAATAAGATCAGCAGCAGCGGCTATAGCCTCAGAATAGTAGGAAGCGTTTCCTTTGCCTTCAGCTATCATTGAGTGACCATACGAGACTTTGCAGTCCTTACATCGAAGCACCAGTTTCGTGCACTGTTTAGGGCCAGTGATTGTATACAAAGTACAACTGCTCGGAGGATTTGGAGCTGACAAAATGGATCCACATCTCAAGTAGTCCTCCACTGGAGGCACGATGAAACCACCAAAATTTAATTTCTCTCTTTTGCTGAGGGTACATAAGGCTTCCTTCCTCAAAAACAGCAGAATAATTTCCCAAGAAAGGGCTTTCAGGCGCAAATTCTTCCAGAAAACAAACAATATCATCAACCAATGTCACTGAAAACCGGCAGGGGCATAAGTGATCGATTATTGTAAAAATAATGTTGCAGCGACTATTTTTGTATCTCGCGAAGGTTTTGGGTACATGTCTGATTGCTAACATAATCCACATGATTGCTTCGAATCCGAACATAAACGCGAGCAAGCCAACTACATCAAAGTTTACATGTTTCCTTAAACTTCTCAGACTATCCGTAACCTCCTCTAATACCAGTTGAACTTTTAAGGTATTTATATGGTTTAAATGCTCTTTTCTCTCTTGGATTTTTCGCAAAATGGCTTCAGCAGAAAAGTCGACTTTTGCCCTTTTCGAAGCCATGCTTTACAGTGCCTGTTTATCTTGTTTCGCATGCACACCAATTTCTGGCATGTAGATCTCCCGTGGCTACTACGCAACTACACGTAGTTTCACCACCAGTATCGTTTATCATTCCGTCCTTTGACATATCTGGCATGTATATTAATTGCGTCAATTAACACTGTAGTTACTTGGCAACTGCGTGTTTTCAACGCAATTATAAATGCGTGTAACACGTTGTCTGGCACTTATCAGACCCTTATATGACATGTCGGTACGTGAAACACTATACCAGGCTACTACGCAACTACTCGTAGTCACACCGTAGTAGCGAAAAAATGGTTCATAAAATTCGCCGCTCATACAAAATGGGTACAGGTATTAACATGATGCATTAAATTGACTTAATTTCTTTTAGGGCAATTGTTATGTTTGATTTTGTGAAGTATTTACCGATGTTAGATCAACTTATTGTTGGGTTAAACTCCTTTGATGTGATGCCGGATGTTGTGAAAGAAAATCAATCTGGCATGGAACCATTTGTTGTGGAAAAGTATGCTACAATCCTGGACAAAACGTTGTGGACAACCCACAGAATTTGGCCTTGAATGGCGTTTTTCCTACATAATTATCCCCCACTCCCCCATGCTAATGTTGAATGGGATTTTTCATCAAATACGAAGTGTGGTTAAGTCGGATAAGCAACATTGAAGAGGGGGAGTGGGGGATGTGCAAGTAAATTCAAGTTTTAGGTGTTTGTTATGATTTTTGCAAAAGTGAGTTAAGTGTCCACATGAGTTTTGGCCCGGATTGTAGCTGCCAGGTTCTTACCAACTGCAAACACATTGTTTGATGAAATCATCCCTGATTTCAGTGAAGATGGCAGCAACCTCAAGATTAAAGAAGTTGACAAGTTCAAATTCTTTTGTGACTGTTCACGCGCAGGGGTTTCGTACTGAGTATTAATCACCGACCAACCTCTCGCGCCTTCTGAGGGACTGTATATTACGCTTAAATGAAGTACTTCCACACTGATACTCCACAAGATACGGTTTATATTATTTTACGCTACAAAAACAGATCATTTTACATTACAAATACACTACATATGACTCGAAAGGTCCAATTAAAAGCATATTTAGTCAAGGCAACAAAGTACTTAGCCAAACAACTAAAATTAGCGATATAAATACAAGAAAATAAAACATAACAATTCGCATGCAATTACGTCACTATATATTAGATCAGCAATAATGTACTTGAAGCTTTTGTCCCCAAATATACTTATTTTATATTAGTTATCCTCAACGTAATCACAAAAGAACTATCATACAAACAGCAGCAGTTCTGAAAATTCCTCGACCACAAGTTTGTCAAATCGAACAACCTTTTTTTCTCCGGGCAGGCGGGCACAAATCTTCGGGTATAAATCACTCCTCCCCATCGTTCGTCTCGATCCGGTTGGGACGACGATCATCCATTTTCTTGCTTTCTTCAAGGACACAAAGTTTCGTGATCGGTCTGGTACAAACACCTTGGCTCGTCTTGATCTTTGCAGCTCTCACACGCCCATCCTTTCCTGGGAAAACTTCGAGAATTCTTCCTAACTTCCATTCACCACGCTTGAGATTAGGTTCGAAAACAATAACTACATCATTGACCGATAAGTTTCGTTCTTCAGTCTTCCACTTCTTACGAGTCAACAGGGTCGGTAGATATAGTTTTACCCACTGTTGCCACACAAGATTCGCGAGATGTTGCGTTTGTCTAAAACGATCTTGGAAATTCGGCCGACTGTAATCTCCGAGAGGAATGACTGGTGAACATCGATTCAGCCAGAAATGGTACGGTGTCAGGGCTTCGATGTCTTTTGGGTCGCTGCTTACATACGTAATCGGTCTAGAGTTGACAAATCTTTCAACCTCTGCAAACAAGGCGGACAATTGCAAATCAGTCGTATTTGATCGCTTGGTCTTCTTGTTCGGATTTATCGTACGATACAGGGCTCTTTTGACGGACTCTACCAAACTTTCATGAACTCCTCCCCCAGTGAGGACTCGCCGGGGGTTGAAACTTCCAACAAATTCCTTCTCCAATCCTCGTCAAGCGGTTTTGAAGATCTTCACTTTCATTCAATTTCTTCACCATGGACTTCAGTTCGCACTCTGCGCCAACAAAGTTTGTACCATTGTCGCTGTAGATGGGACGTGGCTGTCCGCGTCTTGCCATCATTTTATGGAGGGCTTGTAGAAAATCAGGTGCTGATAAAGATTTTACAACTTCGAGATGGACGCATCGAGTGGTCATACAAGTGAATAGAGCGCCGTATCTCTTCGCTGTAGTGTTACGAGTAGGCCGAACCGTGATCGGGCCAAAGTAGTCTACAGAGGCATGGTAGAACGCCAGTTGCATGGGCGTCATTCTTTTGGTCGGCAGTTCACTCAATAGCTGATGGCCCCCCTTGGCTCCTTCTCACTTGCACTTTTGGCATCTTCGTTTGAACTGTTTCACCTCTTGTCGTCCATGAATTATCCAGAATTTATTGCGGATGGCAGCAAGTACATGGTCGACACCTCCATGGTTCTCAAGGCGATGGTAACAATCGACACTCAACTCAGTTAAACGATGCTTCTGCGGTAAGATAATCGGATGTCGTACTTCATAGGGTAGTTTGGCTCGATCCAGTCGTCCACCAATGCGAATTACATTGTTCTTATCTAAATACGGCGTGAATGAAAGCAGTTTCGAACGTCGATCAACACATTTGCTCTTTTCCAGTGATTCGAATTCATTGGAAAATGCCTCCCATTGGCATTGACGTACCAAAGCGACCATTGCTACTCTTAATTCTTCAACCGTCATGACTCCACTAGCAGGCTCGGTACCTTTACATAAGGCGACAAAGCGTTCAACTTGCGCCATCACTCGTCGGGCTTTCCACAAGGTTGAGCACCGCGTCAAAATTATATTGGCTGGAAGATCGGTGGAGTCTTTCTTCGAGTTTGCGATGAACACTTTGCTTGGTGTCATCTCTGTTGGCTCGTGTGTTTCTTCAATTGGAGTTTCTTTGGGCCAGTGGTCTTCACTCTGGTAAAGAAACGCTGGTCCTGTGAACCACCTTTCGGGGATAATCTCTGTTTTACCGTCAAATCTTGATTGAGTGGCGTAGTCGCTCACGTTCAACCGACCTGGTACATGGCACCAGGACTTCGAGTCAGTCAAAGTTGGGATATCACCAATGCGGTGGGCCACGAAGGGTTTGTACCATACGGCAGTGGAACGCACCCAGCCAATGACGCATTTGCTGTCGGTCCAGAAAACGAGACGATTTATAGGCCGGGTTAAAGCCTTGCGAATGTACGTTGCTAAACGTGCACCCAGAAGAGCGGCTTGCAATTCGAGTCGAGCAACACTCAGCGCTTTCTTGGGGGCCACTTTTGTCATAGCCCATTATCATAGAGCACACCACATTTCCATCCGCATACAAGCTTCGCAGGTACACTACGGCCGAAAAAGCCTCCTCCGAAGCGTCACAGAATGTATGAAGTTCGGAGCTTTTCACCCTCTGCCTTTTGTGGTTGTATGCAACGTGGTATTTTTATTTTTTCTAACTCCGGTAGTTTTGACAGCCAGTCCTTCCATTTGCTCAGCTGAGAAGGTGGAATAGGATAATCCCAATCCAGTCCCAGAAGACACAATTGCTGGGTAAGGATCTTCGCTTTGATCGTGTAGGGGGAACAAAATCCAAGAGGGTCAAATAGTCCTGCTAGTTTATTTAGTAGACCTCTTCTGGTGTAGGTCACATCTTCGATAGGGGTCACACTGAAGGTGAGTTCATCCAAAAGCGTGTTCCATTTCACTCCGAGGATTTTCGTTTCCGGCTCATGATTGGCGAGATTGGCCACATTTCCTTCTGGTTCTGAGTCGGCCTGATCATTTCCGAGTGCAGCAGTCACTTCTGGAGAATTGGATATCCAGTTCCTGAGATGGAGATCACCTTCAGCTAGAGCGTTCTTCACTTGTTTCCCTCGGTGGATTGCTTCTTTTGTTGATTCTGCTGAGTCAAGGTAATCATCAACATACATATTCTCTTCAATGGCCTTTACAACTTCTTCCTTTCCTATGCCAAAATCAGCAGCTGTGCGACGGGTTATATAGATTGCTTCACAGGGTGATGATGTGTCACCAAAGGCTAAATGGTTCATCTGGTAGGTGTCGACCTTGTCACTGTCTTTCTCTCTCCAAAGGAAGCGATGGTACCTCGCATCTTCTTCGCGTAGTCGTATTCTGCTAACCATGGCTTCGATATCAGCTCCAAATCCTATGTCCCCTTCTGTAAATTTCGTCAGTACATTAGGTAGTTCGTTCTGCAGAATTGGTCCAGGTAAAAGTGCGTCATTCAGGGATTTTCCATTATACTTGGCTGCAGCATCAAACACAACTCGGAGCTTCTTTTCAGTTGCAGACTTCTTGTAGACACCGTGATGCGGCAAATACCACTGGTCTGGCCCATTTACATTGTCGTTTTCATTTACTTTCACAGCATAACCGTTCTCCACGTATTTTCCAATAGCTTTGAGATAGTCCTTTTTGTATTCTGGATCTCGCTCGAAACGTCTTTCCAAACCTTCTAATCGCTTTAGGGCAACTTGGCGGTTATTTTGTAATCGTGGCTGCTTTTCTTTTCACAGCAACAGGACTTGCTAACCAGTTTCCAACTTTACAGTTCTGTGTTCTAATAAGTCCATCGCACATTTTTCATCTTTTGAGTAGATTGGCTCGTTCGTTGGTTTCGTTCCAAAAGATTCGCTTTCCCAAAACCTTTTGAACGCAGCGTCGAGGGGTTCTGTATCCGTACAGGAAACATGATGCACACGAGGTCTGGTATCAGATCCTCCAATGGGATCAACGGCCGTCCAGCCAAAACTTGTTTTCTTTGCAACAGGTTCCTTGGGTCTTCCCGTCATGACTTCTAGTGGTACCAGCAAGTCCGCATGATCAAGTCCTAACAAGATGTCGACTTCACCACCAACAGTTCGCAAATCTAGTTTCTCCAGTTCGTTTTTATATCTGGCCATGGAACTGTCTCAATGGGTTGACAGATTGATTCAAGACTCCATGCTTTGAGGTTGACATGCTTGTTACTTCCTTCAGGGGTCTTCACTCGGAGGATCACCTCAGTTGATGCCTTCGTCTCGCTTTACCTCCAACACCAGAAATATGGAGAGTCGTTTTCTTCCCTCTCAATCCCAACTTCTTCACAAACAATTCGGATACAAACGTTGTATCCGAGCCATCATCAAGTAGGAGGTTTCATTTAACTTCGTTACCACTAGCACCAATTACAGACACTTCAACAATTCCAAAGGCAATGCCTGAATGGGGTGTCTTCGTGGTTGTAGTATGGGCATTTTGTTCCGGATGCAACAGGGTATGATGTTTCACTTTGCAACCCGATATGCCACTCTTTCTTATATTTGCAATTCCGGGAAATGTGATACTCCTCCAAGCAACTGAAGCAGAGCCGCTTCTCTTTGGCAAAGTTTAACTGGTCTTCGACTGACAGTTCCTTAAATTGAACACAGTTCTTTGCCTTGTGGTCACCACTGCATTTCGAACACTTGGGAGCTTTTCCTTGATTGTGCAGAGATCTCCGGTCTCTTCTTCGATGGTCACAAGTAATGTTGCTAGGTGGTAGTGCGCTCCAATAGGATCTCCCTCTAGCTCCAAGCCAGGTGCTAAATTCCCCTAATGTCATCGCAACTTGCCTCTTGCCAACCTTGGTGCGCCAAGCCTTTGCATCGTCTTGTGGCAACTTGTCGGTTAATTCGTAGATAAGGGAGGATACAAAGGGCGACTCCCCTTTGCAGTATCGGCGGAGTACTGCGAGGTGGCTTCTTGCTCGATCAACAAACGATTGGAACTTTAAGGACAAATTCTCTTGGGACACCATATCTATTGGAGCTAATGACTTTAACACTTGGAGATGTGCAACTTGCAGCATGGTAGGGTGACCATATTGATCTCGCAACAACATCAATGCTTCAGCATATCCCTCATCATCAGGGAATAGGCCAGCGATAACCTGCTCACAGTCTTTCGACAATTTTGTATGCAGGAATCCCATTTTCGCTTCCGAGGTCATTCTCGTGTCATGGACTAGTGCTTTAAACAGGCCACTCCAAGAAAGCCACTGCAAGGGGTCACCATGATAGACTGGGACTTCTGCTCTAACTGGGATCTTTCCAGGGTCTACAGTTCTCAGTTCAACGTTGCGATCCTTTTGGAATTGAACAATCCAATCTTCCTCTTCTTGTCGATCATCACGGCGCATTCAACATCTGGTTTTAGTTCTCTAATTTGATCGAGATGCTTTACATAGAGGGCAGCTTTCTCTGTACCGTGGAGCTCTCTTTCTTTAGGAAAAGCAGGTGTTGTAGGTCTTGGGATGTCTCTTTTCTTGCTCGTGACTGCAGACTGCCTTTCGGCTTCATTGGCTTGTTCCTGCGGCTGGGCTGCTTTTGCTCTCTTCTGTCGGGATAATTCCGATAGCTGGGCAGCTTACTGTGACCGCTGTTTGTCTGCCTCTCGGTTTTCCTCATCTTGCTTGTCGAACTCATCTTGGCAGTCTGCGTTTTCCTGTTGTATGACAGGGGGCGATCTGCTACGCAGAGAACTATTTTGCGACTTGCTAGAACTGTTGGATCCTGATGCTCTCTCCTCCAGATGTTCTTGCACCATACCAGTGATAGTATTGACTTCCAGTTTTATGTTGGCTAATGTCATCATGTCATCTAGTAGTTCCTCATCATCTTGAAGATGTTCCTCAAGTTGGGTATGAAGGGGTCCGATTTCTTTGAATGTTTCCAGAACATCACCCAGGTTTTTCTTGATGGTCGCTCTACTACCCCCTTGTTCCATCAATTGCCTGGTAGCATCAGAGTATCTTCCAATCATATACCTTAGAGCCCGTCTTCTAAACCGGCATCTCTTGATTGCTTTGACTGCTACTTCCGTTGGGTCTCCACCCCCTGTTAACAAGGGGTTTGAATTTTCTGCATTGACTTCGACTTGTACATTATCATGTTGGGAATCCTTGTCATGTGTATTTGGAGGGTCCACCACCCCCCTGGTTTTGTGTGATCTTGTAGACTGAGATACCAACATTGTCTCTGCTTGCTAATTGTCGATCCGGCTCGAAGGACCAATAATGTTCACGCGCAGGGGTTTCGTACTGAGTACTAATCACCTACCAACCTCTCGCGCCTTCTGAGGGACTGTATATTACGCTTAAATGAAGTACTTCCACACTGATACTCCACAAGATACGGTTTATATTATTTACGCTACAAAAACAGATCATTTTACATTGCAGACACACTACATATGACTCAAAAGGTCCAATTAAAAGCATATTTAGTCAAGGCAACAAAGTACTTAGCCAAACAACTAAATTTAGCAATATAAATACAAGAAAATAAAACAACAATTCGCGTGCAATTACGTCGCTATATATTACAAAATAAGTAAGTTTTTTACCGTTCTAGATCAGCAATAATGTACTTGAAGCTTTTGTCCCCAAATATACTTATTTTATATTAGTTATCCTCAACGTAATCACAAAAGAACTATCATACAAACAGCAGCAGTTCTGAAAATTCCTCAACCACGAGTTTGTCAAATCGAACAACCCTTTTTTCTCCGGGCAGGCGGGCACAAATCTTCGGGTATAAATCTCCGGGTGTCAAAGGCCGGTCCAGTGACCTTTTACAAGACTGTGAGTGCGATTCATCACAAGGTATGCATGTACATACTACATCCAGTATATAAAATTCAAATAAACTTTTAAACCAATAAACTTTTATAACTAAACTTTTTTATGCACAAAAAATTATTTCCAAAAATGACCTTGACTAAATATATTAAGGTAAACCACAAAAGTGTTTTGTGCATTTTCTTGACGTGTATAAAGTTGTATTCTGAGGTGGTAAGTCCACAGAATAAAAATATATTAAGCCATTGCATGAATAAGTTAACATAATAAGTGATACGCTCAATCTAGTGCAGCCTATTTCAATCCGAATATATGTTGAACTATCATTTTTAGTGTGAAGTTTCACTTCACACTATTGTGATGGCTGGCGAATTCACACGAATCAGTCAGTCAAACAGTCATAGAGTAAACTTTCCGGGGGGTGTGTACGATTTATGTTCATAGTGATTTATTGTACTTAGTCAGTACTTTGAAGGTTATTTAGGCAATTTCAGTTAACTTATTTACATATTCTGTTATCCTTTTGCCAAGTTCACAAAAATTTCGAGGAATCGCTTTCGTTATTGTAATTTTTTGTAAATTTTAGACCATTCGCTTCTCATGTTGTGTAAAGGATTTTTACCCCGGAACACCCGATTTTTTTCTTTAGTAGCGCAAATGCGCATGCGCTATCAAGCCGTAGATCACAATGGCGTCACGATATGCTAGGAAGGGGTGACAGTGTTGTTTTCAGATGTATAAAGATTTCAGACGTGAATATTGAGAAAATCTTTGAAAATCTACGCAATATATAAATTGATCTTATGCATTACGGGCGTTCAATTAAGTGCCAATAATATTTAGACGGTATATTCATTATACAGAGCTAGGAAGGAGCTAGACAGTGCAGTCAAGTGTGTAAACATTTCAGACGTAAATATTGAGTTGAATATCTTGATTCTTAGGCATTCATTTGAGTGCCGATATTATTTTCACGGTATTCTCATTATACAGAGGTACAGTACGTAGGCAGAAGCGAGGCAGTGTTGTTTTCAAGTATATAAAGATTTCAGACGTGAATATTGAGTAAATCTTTGAAAATGTACACAATATATAAATTGATCTTATGCATTACGGGCGTTCAATTTAATAAGTGCCGGTAATATTTAGACGGTATATTCATTATACAGAGCTAGGAAGGAGCTAGACCGCCTAGACAGTGCAGTTAAGTGTATAAACATTTCAGAGGTAAATATTGAGTCGAAAATCTTGCTTCTAGGCATTCAATTGAGTGCCGATATTATTTTTTCACGGCATACTCATTTATATACAGAGGTACAGTACGTGCAGGCAGAAGCGAGACAGTGTTGTTTTCAAGTATATAAACATTTGAGAAAATCTTTGAGATTCTACGCAATAATAGTAATACAATATATAAATTGATGTTATGCATTACCGTCGATATTATTAAGACCGTGTCTTCATTATACATGCTCATTGACTGTGTAAGGTGCTACATCACAGAATAGATGGCTATACTCAGTACAAAGAGCGAAAAATTGCATCAGATTTGTATCAGATCAATAAAGCATAAACAACTATTAAACACAAGCGGGTAAGCGTTTGTACGGCGTTTACGAAGAAAAAAACTTACGAGACTAAAGGAATCAGTTGAGTCAGAGCTCATTGCATAAATAAGAAAGACGAGGAGATAGCCAACGTGTTTAGGTGTTATCGCCAACTTGTTATCGCTAATCGCTTAATTGGCTTGCCAACAAGCTTTATGCAATAGAAGAAAAAAGCAAGGAGGTACATGTAGCCAACATGTACATTCACGGTCCTTGTCTTTGTTTACTGTCTAGTGTCTAGCACAACGCCGTTGTCAACGGTGCAAACTCGTATTCAGTGCAACAATAACACTACCAGATCTTACGAGAATCAATCTGTAGTATTCTGTACACAGAACTGTATCAAAGCTTGTCAAAAATGTTTTAAACACTGCTATAACTGTGAAACTATTGAAATCTAAAGTGATATTTATATTCAACACATGCGAAAAGCTAAAAATAGACACACGTCACACTGGGAAAAGTCAAAGGTCAATGAAACTTGTTATTGTGAAACATGTCACAATTAAGTTAAAATGCGGAAGCGGATGGAGCGGATTCACGGAACGGATATGCGGATAAAATACGTCTTTTAATGATGTAACGACATAGTGCTTATTATTCATAACATATCTTATACAGCCATTTCAATTATAGTTTATTAGATAAATTTAGCATAGCAGTAGCCTCGTGAGGTTGCTTTCAGCGACAGCTGCAAATGCAAATGAAAATTTAGAATATGCAAAATTTGGTTGTTGGTGACACAATAAATAGATTAATTGTATCAGTTTCACAAGGCACGTTTCTGATGTGTTAGGCTTGTTTCAAACGTCACGCTACTCGTGTGCCGAGCGTATTAAAAGCAATAAATAATGAGATGAAATGCCTTTGGTAACTGTTTATTTCGTAGTGTAAGCCATCAAGCTTTTCTAGGTTGTCGGCGACCCTATGTAGTTCTTGCAGTGTCTTTTTAAATTTGAAACTTTACACTATCCTTGGATCCCTAGTTCCTTTATAGAAAGCAATGGTAACCCGCTAAGTGTTTTACGTAAGTTTATTACTGGAAGTGAACATATTCCTCCTCTTGGGTTACCAAAGAAAATAACAGCAAAATTTAAGCATGGTTGCCCAGAATGCTGCAGGTGTCGACCTACAGCATCGACATGTTATCTCAGTATAACTTTGCCAGTGCACTACCACAAGAATTATAACCTTTTCAAGGAATCAATAGATTCAGCTCTTATTGAAGGAAGAGCATTTTGGTTGCGGTAACACACATGTGCCAGGAAAGAAATTGTTTATTAAAACAATTTAGGGTAGAAGAGATAGTGACTTAAAAGGTATCATAAATATTCACATTAATTTCTTGTTGCACGCTTGGGCAAAATCTGTATTTATGCAGTCAAGCCACACATAAAGTAACCAATATGGCGATAGCTGAAGTAGTAAAAGTAGTTCTTATGCTTGCTCTGATTTTCTATATATGACAAACAAACAAACAAAAAATTTATTCACACTAGAAGTTACAATACGAGCATACATAGAGTTTGAGCAAACAACAATAATAGTGACAGGAAACCTGAAATAACGTTAAAGCTAAACTAGTCAGGTTTCCTATAATATTTGAATATAAAATTTAGATGAGGAATTTAAACAAGGTGTAACTACACTACGTAACTCACACACAAAAGGAAAGCATGCAACTACAAGAATCAAATTAAAAAAAGAAAAAAAAACGATGCAGATCAAGTCGTTTTATATAATTTAAGATAAGATTCCTTTAACTGTCTCTTAAATCGAAAAAAAGTAAGAGACTTCAAGGAATCTTCAATGCCATTCCAGACTTTCGATCCAAAATGTCTAATATTAAATTTACCAAAATTAGTTCTTATTTTTGGAAGGTGAAAAGTAGATTTCAAAGCAAGTCGGGTACTGTAATCATGCATACTATTAGTATTAATATATAACTTAATGATTTCATTTATTTTTAGTAGTTTTAATTTATGAAATATAGGATTAGTATGTGCGTCAAATTTAGAAAAAGTTATAATACAAATAATCTTTTTCTGTAAGAGAAAAATAGGCTGAATATTCGTATTATAAATCATACCCCACACCATACAGCCAAATATAAGGAAAGGTTATATAATAGAATAATATAACTGGATTAGAATTTTAGTTGTTACAAAGTGACAGACTTTGCATAAAACACCTGTACCTCTAGACAGCTTTTTACAAATACTTGAAATATGATCCTTCCAATTTAAGTGGCAATCCAACATAACTCCTAGATATTTAACATTCCTAACATGCTTTATTAATTCATTATTAATAATTAACTTCATAGAGTAGTTAATCTTTCTTTGACGAGGTTTAAAAATTACAAAATTAGTTTTTTCAATATTTAATGATAGCTTATTGGAACATAGCCATGTATTTATGTTACATAGCTCACGATTTATGATACTTTCCATTGTTTGTAAATTTTTATGGGAAAAAAAAAGATTTGCATCATCCGCAAAAAGATGAAAATCAACCACAGTTGACGATCCACTTAAGTCATTGATGTATATAAGAAACAACAATGGTCCAAGCACGCCTAGCAAAAAGTAGTCCAAAATCGCCAGAGGTGTTGTAACTTTTTTAATTTTCATCCTGATTGTACGAAATTTTCCATAAACATAGAACATATCATTCTTACAAATCGTGTAGTTTTTGTTTTTGGATTTTTTGGCGGGAAAATGACATCACAAACTTGGCGCCAAAAATTTTAAAATTAGCAGTGACTAATGTTATTTATTTGTTTGGAAGACCATGCTGTAGCAATCTTGAAACTGAAGTCTGTTTCGAAATACGACCATTCGCTGCAAAGTTAGACTGGTTCAAAGTTTGAAAAATCGGCCATTTTGTTACTAAAAAGAGAACAAAATGGCGGATTTTTCGAAATTTCTAAATGCCTTAACATTCACAATTTATTTGTGTTTTCGAATTTTTTTTGCAGATTCTATGTCTTTTTGGATATATCTTCACAACTGATGTAGTAGATTCAATAAACGATTGATTTTTCGTATGTTTTTACATGAAACACTCGAAGGGTTTTTTCGCACAATGTGTTCCATAAGTAGGTTGTTCTCGTGACGTCAAGTATAATGAGTCCGAGCCATTTAAAAGGTTTACAGAACTTCGAGAGAAGAAATAATGGATGATCAAGGGATTCAAGTACGTTTTTAAAAATAAATACAATATTTTTTCAATCCTAACTCACATTGGGGCCCCGTGCGAAATTTCCGGAGAACAACCTACTTATGGAACACATCAAACGATGACCCACCAAAGTTTCAACCCTTTAGTTTCGCCGCCTTCGTCTTTTCGCGCCCGCGGTCCTTACATGTCAGCGATCATCTATACTTCGTGAAACGTCATGTAGAGTGATAGTATAATGTTTCCAAGCAGTTTAAAATTTTTACAGAATTTCGAATGTCCAAACGATTTAGTTGGTTTTATTGTTACAAGTTGCTTAATGCCTTTCCATGTTTCTTTAATATTATTAAGATTCTTAGTAAAATAATCATTAAAATATAACTTTTTACTTACAATTATTAAATGTTTTAATTTATTTCTATATATCTTATATTTGCCATGGTTATATTCACATTTGTGCTTTAAATAGATTTTAAATAATTCATTTTTTGTCTTAATTGATTTACGGATAGCAGTTGTAATCCAGGGTTTTGCCATAAATTTAACTTCACTTTTTGTCAATTTTTTAGGGGAGCATGTCTATCAATAGTAGTAGAAATACAGGAGTAGAAAGAATTAAAAATTTCATTAGCATTTCCAGCTGGCAGTTCATTTTCCCACCTTATGGACTGTACTTCCTCTATAAGATGTCTTTCATTCATATTTGAATAATCTCTTTTAAAGACCTTACATTTCTTTGGTACAAAAGGTGTTTTATCCAAGATAAGAAAGTTTGGAAGATGATCAGTAATATCATGAATTACATTTCCACTAACTTGTATGATGATGTTCCATATCATTCAGAAATATATTATCAATTAAAGTTGCAGAATTTTCAGTAATTCTAGTTGGCTGCAAGATGGAGGGCAAAAAATTATATGAACTTAAGGTATTAATATACTCTTCAGTATATGAATATGTATCACTGTTCAGCAAATCAATATTAAAATCTCCCATAAATATGCAATACTTATTTTCTCTGGAGACTTTATCAACAATATGAGACAAAAAGTTAGTAAATAGTTCACAATTACTTCTAGGATGCCTATACAAGATTCCACAAATAATATTTTTATGTGGGCCACAGTCAATTTCTATCCATAGAGATTCATACTCCATGGTTGCTGAAGTAAAATCGTCCCTAATAATATATTTAATATTTTCATTAATGTAAAATCCCACACCGCCAGCATTAGTCAGTGAGGGTAAGGATACTAATTCGTATCCTGAATTAGAATTATAACTGACTTGGTCCACATCCTTTTTTATCTTAGTCTCAGACAAGCCGATAATACTAAAATTATAATTTAGATCAGCTAATAAATTACACAGTTTATCATAATTTGCTTGTAGACTTCTTATATTACAGTGCATAGTAGAAAATGAGGTTTTACTGTTAGTTGATCTAATAATTTTCCTGACTCGTATGGAAATCATCAGGAGTATAATAATTAAAGACAAAATTTCAAACCTAGGTAACTCATCTACCAATCTATTATCAATAACTCTATCATTACATGGACATGCTGTATTGGTTTCAATTGAAAATAAGTCATTTAAGTTTTCATTGTCAATTCCCATAAAGGGGAGAGCATTGAAGTCAGAATCAACCATCTTATTAATAGCAATACATCAATACATCAATGACTCAACAATAGTATTATTTTTGCCATAAAGGTCACAACAAAGCATCATATAGCATATCATAATGAAAAATTAGAGTAAGATAACTTAGCTTCATATATTTGCTCCATAACCATTAGATAGAGGTTGTTTTCCATGTTGTTCATCTTGTGATTTTGGCCAAATCTGTTTTATTATTCACAATAATACTTGGACTTTCTGAATCTTTGCGGAGATAAATACGACCATAATAAGTCCATAGGAATCTATAATTTAGCTCATTTTTCAGTTTAAAACATTGCTTAAATAGTTCCTTGTTGCTTGGACTCAGACTTTCAGTGATATAAATTTTATTCTCTGAATACCTTGATAAGGAAAGATCTTTAGTGGAATTATTTTTCAACTTCGTCCTTGCTTTCTATAATTTGTCTCTTGTATCCCTTTGGACAAATTTTACGATAATTCGAGCAATGGAGTTGATAGGATTACTTCTTGTTGTACTATAGGTAGCTTTAGGTTTTCGCAAACAATGGCTTACTGAGATATCCTTTCTCTCTATCTTGACTCCAGCTAATTGACCAACTTTTATCACCAAGTCATTAGCATCTTCACCTTCTATCTTGGGGATGCCAGCGATTTCAAGACAATCCCTTTGTGTATACTGCTCAAGATTGTTAGTAATTCCTTTTTGTATTTCTAGTTCATTTTTCAAGTTGAAAACCTCTGCTTTCAGTTGCTTATTTTCTTCAACAACAGTATCAGTTTTGAGTTGTAAACGCTCCATTTCTTTGGTTATTTCATCATATTTATCACTTATGAACTGCACCGATGCCGTGAGACCTTCAAGTTTGTCTGTTAATGGCTTCAACTTTCGATCTAAAATCGACTGTAGAGCTTCTATAGTAATCGAACCGCTTCTTGTAGACATCCTTTCCATTTATATAAAGACATTAAATACAAAAAATAACTTAACAATATAGATTTGTATCGAGAATCTGCTCTAGAAGGGCAGATTCCAGCAGAGCTCGTAAAAACGTCGCCATCTTGGTTTACCTCGTGACATATATTATAGGAGTTGTTATTGGCTGTGAATTTTAAACCAGCGACAGCGTCTAAGTTTATAAAAAATGTTGGCTATAGAGTATGGTAAATAAATGCTATTAAATAAGAATTATTATTATTAGCATAATATTATTCCTGCCGACATCATATATTTCCTTTTAGTATCTGCTTATAAGGACCGGATGCCATTTCCCAATTGAGCAGAGGACTGGGTCTAGTTGATGTTTGAAGATGTTTGGAGGGACAAGAAGTTATAGTGAGCGAGCTACATACAATAAGTTATAGTGAGTGAACTAAAAACGCTGGCTGACAGCCAGAAATTTTGTCTCCGATTGCTCGGCTGCCAGCTGGTAGTATACTATTCATTAAAAAATGCAGTATAAATAGTATAGCCCTTTGCCGCACAGATTTATTATTCAAAAATTTTTATAACAGGTCCGAAAGAATATAAACTATGTGAAAGATATTTATCATAAACACATTTTATTATACATCAAAATGATCCCCAAATACCACAGATTTTAAATATGCAACTTTTTTGCATTTGTAATGGTTACCCTGGCAACAGGACACTCCCAATTCCTTGCTAACCACAATTGTCATTGTAGTACTTTTGTTTTCAAGTACAAAGTAGCAAAATGATTTGCAAAATATAGGTTTGTTGACAATTACATGTACTTGGCCTACCATTCACCTGCATTTATTTACTACTATCTACTATTTATGATTTCATTTGATCAATTCGATCAACACCTCCCATATATTTGTTATATGAGGAAAGCATCAATGGGCATTGCACATCCTGTTGTTCACCGTCTTTTTTTCTCCTCTTCACCAGTTTTGTTGCTTCTCCAGAAACAACCTCCAGTGTGGAAACTACATTGACAGGTTTGTTATCAATCCAGGTGACATGTGTAATTTAGCCTGCGTAGCAGGCGGTAGAAGCTAGAAATACCGCCTGCCCAAAAACTACACATTCTGAGTTACGCCCACCCAACGCATGGTCCCGCCCATCTTAATGTATTTTATTTGTCGAACTCACGTATTGCATTTGCACCAGTGCAAATATACGGCTTTGATGTTTCAGATCTTCTGTTCATTCAATGCTATGAAGACAAAAATACCATGTTCGATTAAGTGTAACAATATGTCCTCATTCATAGCGATAGTTTTAGTCAATGTTAACATTATAGCAATTTATGAACTTTGAAAGTCAAGTGAGTTCGTATATTATCAAATTATGTAATTGTCTGAACAAAAACAGACTATAGCCATACCTTTCACCAAAGATAACTTCGGCCACTTCGGACATAACTTCTTTGTAATAGTCGTGTTCCAATCGCTATCAAAAACACTACTTAGAGTGTCATTTACGAGCTTGTATCTTCAAATCTGCACTTTTATCACAGTAACACATCTCTATCAAGCAACATAATGTTGGATTGATATTTGTTGTTCATTCAGACGATGGCATTACCGATTCCAGATAAAGAATTCAACACTTAATTCTCAATTAATACATTCGTTATTTTTTCGTTAATGTATGCCATCGCTCGATATATGGGTATCAATTACGAAATGACAATAGTTTTATTATATATTAATACGGCAACAGTAACTTCTAAAATTTGCACTAATTATTCTAATTCTTTAATACTCCTGTCAATCAAAAATTAAAAATCAACATTCTAACCAATCAGAATGCTCCGTCACCTAGCTGCCGGAGAACTCAGAATGTGTAGTTTTTGGGCAGGCAGTATTTCTAGCTTCCCATTCTCTCATGCCCGCGAATACCGCCTGCTATGCAGGCTAGCTGTAATTGGACCCTTTCTTCTGAATACACAAGTACCCCTTTCAAGCTTGTTGTTTGCTTGCTTCTCATACATTTCTTTGGGGAAGCCACGTCGACCCAATCTCAAAGTTCCACAAGAAAGGGTTTTATTGCAAAATAAAGTCTGCAAAAGTTCTGAGGTGAAAAAGTTGTCAAAATAGACTTCATGCCACTTTCCATATAGCATATAACGCAGCTGCGTGACAACAGAAAAGCCTAAATCATTGGTTACCGCTTCCCCACTCTTTCCAGTGTATATTTCGAAATCATTTAGATAACCATTGATGCCATAGGATCTGCACCACATCTTTATTCCCCTTTTGATGGGTTTCACGGGCAAGTACTGTTTTAGGGAAGTTCTGCCTTTGAACTTGATCATCGCTTCATCAATAGCAACCTCTTTGTGCAGCACATATTGGGTTAGAAAGTTGCACGAATTGATTCCAGGAATGGTCGAACTTTGAACAGTTTATCAAAGCCAGGAGTTCCCCTAGATGGCATCCCCGAATTGTCGTTCACATGCAAGTATCAAGTAATTGTCTCGAAGCGAGTACCAGTCATTATCCAAGCTAATGATGGTACCCCCAATATCCAGTCTCGGGACCAATAGTCAGGAATGCTGTGAACAGGGTGCATAGACATGGCAATACAAAGACCGAAATATGCTAGGAATTCAGTGTCAGTAATTCGCTCAAATAAATTTGACTCTTTACCTGCAGCTGTGAGACATTGAAACGCATACTTATTTGTTTCACGTACAATGTCATTGACAATGTTCATGCTAAACAATAGGAAAAAAATTCAAGGGCTGATGCTGTGCTTTGAAGAATGTTTACTGCACCCACCTGCTGTTGAAACTCACTCCAGCAAATCTTTGGCTCATCTTCGGCTTCCATCTCATCATCAGGAGTCCTCCCTTTCCAATTTCCATGTTGTTTTACTAAAATCATAGTAGGATGGTATTCTGCCCCGAGGAGGTTGGATATCTGTGCTTGTTGACACAGTTCCCTCTTCGTCAACAATCTCCACAGCATGAAGGTTGTCAAGAACCTCAGTATGCAGGCTTTTAGCCAGAAGGGATGACCTTCAATGAAAACCTGGGATGCCCTTCAATGAAAAAGTGGACAACTTTGGATGCCCAAAATTCAGGAGGAAATGGAAGTTATTTGTCCAAATATATAATTATAATTGAAAACTACTACCTTTAATTTTCAATATTATCACATGTTTGATATTTTGGTCAATTTGATGGTGTATTCATTACGGTTGAATGAAAATGTCGTAATTAAACAAAAATGCAAGGATGTTCATAAAATCTCGCATGATCTCTTAGCATGTTGCACATATGTTTACATGAAGTAGACCTGTAAATTTTGATACTGCTGTACTAAATAAGTTGAGTCTTTACCAACGTTTTTCGAACAATTTGAATTAATAAATTAACTCAACAAGCCAACAACTCAAGGTAATTATCATAATCCTTAGGCCTTAGCAATTTGATATGTAAATATTAACGTTTAGAATGTTCATTAGCATTAGCCTCTTTTAGCGGTAGATTTATCCTCTGGATTTATACTTAAACACCTGTTTACACATGCAATTTGTGCTGTGATTTTACATGCAATTTAATTTATATCTCTTTCACTCGTTCACATACATCAGAAGAAGAAAATCGCGCTACTGTAGAAATCGCAGCAAAAATTGCAAGTGTAAACACGCCTTAATATATGAATAACTGTTTACAAATTTAAATAAACATGTGTTTAATATTGAAAAATTATGTTTCTGTTGTAATGTTAATATTGCGTGGAATATTCCATAATGTGTGGAATGTCTATCTATCCTTATATGGTGTTGTTTACAACTTTCTTGCAAACTAAATTTAGTCAATTACTAATTACTAAAATAGGTTTATATTTTACTTCAAAATATAAAATTATTTTAGCCTACCAAGAACTTAAACGTTGTAAATGCTGTTTTCCCAAAATAACACATTTCGTGCTTTGAGATAAGATATTTCAAAACCAATTTGATCAATGGATGTGTTTTTCTACTGCTTCAGCATGCAATCAGCAGTTTACATATGTAAATTTGAAAAATCCTTCACAATCCTAAATACTCTGCCCTAAATATGCACAGGCTAACCGCTAACAGAATACCTTGAAGAGATGTTACAAGTTTTCTAACTCAAGTTTTTGCTCCTACAGAATACAGATGTCACTTTTAAAATATTTTTCTTGCCAAACAAATTGAGTAAGTGATGCTACTGATGTTACTCAGTCTCTACCAAATAATCCTAATAGTAATGACGGCGATGAGTTTGATTTTGAGTCTGAAACTTCTAAATCTGATAGTGATACTGAAACTGATGAACTTGATGAAGATGTTCAGTTGAAACGGAAAAAAACTGACACCAAAAATTTCGTAACTGCAAATAAAAGAGTTCGAGCCTTTCCAAAATTGTGGTTAAAATGCTATAAATGGTTACAGTATGATAAAGTAAAGGGTGTTATGACTTGTAAACTATGCCAGAAACATGGAAGATCAGGCCCGTGGGTTTCTGGTACAAACAATTTTCGCTCCAAAACTGTGAAAAAGCATTTGAGTTGTAATGCACACAAAGCGTCTGTCAAAGCTGAAAATCCAGGCCAAAAAACTCTTCCCCGAACATTTACTGAGAATCAAGAAAAACGCAAGAATTCAATTGTTGCAGCGTTAAGAACAGTATACTGGACTGCAACAGAAGAAGTTGCTAACAGAAAATACTCAAGTTTGTTAAAACTTCAACGTTTACAAGGTGTACAAGAAATAGAAAACCTTTGTGTTGGTGGTAATGCAACTTATGACAGCCCCGACATATTCAACCAATTGCTAGCAGCTATAAATTCCATTATTGAGATAGAAATTCGCGAGAAGAAGTCCAGTAATAGGAGCCTGTATCGACAAAAGTACTGATCGATCAAACAAAAAGCACATCACTACTGTTGTTAGGTTCATTGACATATCATCAGCTAAACTAGAGACTGTTTTTCTCAAGTGCAAAGTGATCAATGACGGTACTGCCAAAGCTATATATCAAGTTTTCAAGCAGATTCTTGCTGATTCAGGTATAGAGATAACAAAAGTTTTAGGGCTGGGAACAGATGGAGCTTCAGTTAAGATGGGACATTTAAATGGTATAACAGCCCTTATCCAGGAACATAATCCTTTTTGTGTTTGTGTACACTGTGTGTGTCACCGTTTGAACCTAGCACTTTCACAGTCATGCAAAGACATTGATGAGATGAAAACTTCGATAACAATTGTTATGAAAACTTTGATAACAATTATGTCAGCCAGTCGTCAAAAAGAGCCTCCAAACTGAAAGATTTAATTGAAATTCTGGAAGAGAAAAACATTAAACTTAAGAGAATTTTTGAAATATGGTGGCTTAGTATGGGTGACACAGTTTTAGCTATCTTCACAACTATGAAGCTTTGCTCATTTTGACCAGCGAAGAAGCAGCCCTAGGTGATCCTATTGCAATAGGATTGCATCATCAATTATCAAGCTATATGTATTTAGCGCTCATGCACCTTACATCTGATATTTTGGCCGAGAAAAATCACCCTTCCAGTTCAGGGATGTGTGTTTTGGTTCTTTGAGACAAAGCCTATCCGATACCATCTCATCACTTCAAGATATGCATGAGCAAAATGGCACTCAAACCGACGTGATGGAGAGAGAATATTTCAAAAGCATGAAGATCACTTATACAGCAGCACGTAGAGGGCAGCCAGAACAACGACAACTCTTTGCTGAAGTTAAAGAAGAGTTATTAAACAATCTTGTTGCAAACATTGAAGCCCGGTTTCCACAGGTTGATCTTATTACCGCCATGCAGATTTTTGAACCTGCATCTTATCCCGCGGCAGAGGAAAACAACCTTCTATCTTGGGGAAATCAATACTTGGAAACGCTATTGAATTTCTATGGTAAAGAGAAAACAAACCAAGAAGGGCGACGTTTTCCATCAATGGTAGATAGTGCTGAATGCCGTGCTGAATTTTTGCCATTCAAACGACTAGTAATGAGAAACAAAGGTGAGCAACGACTGGGCGACGATAGTAGGGAAAATTTTCACTACTACAAACCACCCGAATTAATGCAGAAATTATTTGGCAATGCAGGGCGACAGAATCAAGAAATCTATCCAGCGATGTTTTGACTTATGTGCTTTTGCTTATGCATTCTAGTTGGAAATGCTGAAAGAGTTTTTAGCTGCCAGAATAGGATTAAAACCAAAGCAAGAACATTGCTTGGTGTTGATCAGCTTGATAAACTCATAAGGATGAGTTACTCAAAAATTCCAATTGAACAGTTCGATTTTGCCGCTGCAGCGAAACTATTTTTGGAAGGAAAGAGTAGAAGAATATAAAATTGAAACCATAATGATTATAACATTATCAAAACTTACCTTGTGTCAGTACTAATGTAGTACAACTGTGCAAGATTGTTTTCTAATTGTTATAATTAATGTTTTTTTTAATTGGCCAATATATATGGCATAACAATATAATAAACGTTATTAGCAACTGAAAGCATTCGTTAAACATCGAGAAAAGAAAATATAACTATATAAGACTATTAAGACATTAAGAAATAAGACTCTTATTCATTTTTTAATTCTTTTAAATCAATTACTGTAATGTATAAAGTTGCAATATGATATTATGATTCTTCTACAGTCTTAATGGTTTATTTTACATAATACACTTTTTAAAATTATGATTTAAAACCTCTAAATTCTGCTCAATGTGTTCTCGAGATGTCTGAGTACCTATAAATAGTATAATTAGATCCCCCGCCCCGGACAATGTATGGTTTGTGTCGTCACTATTCCTGAAATTGGATGCCCTCTAGCAGCAGAATCCTGGCTAAAAGCCTGTCAGTATGTTCGCCTATTTCAGCCGATTCACTATTGAAATCAGCTTGTTCAGCACCAATATCTGGCTCAGAGTGTTCAGACGAAATGTCTGAACCCTCCCCATCGAAAGGAATGCCATAATTTTGATCCAAAAGATCGATTATTTCACACGTTGTAAATTTATCTTGTCCTCCAGACATTGTTGACTCACATTACAACAACAATTTAAAGAGCCAAATTTTTATTTTCTCAGAAATCATTTGAAAATCGTTTTATAGTTCAATAATATATCAAAACGCTCGCAACAATGTTGTAAACATGTTTATTTAACATATGGGACACTAGCGACTCTCATAATAATTGGTCATAATAATCGGCACTGGTCATAATAATCGGCATAATGGTCATAATAATCGGCACTGCGAGGTATATCGGACACTGTGTGTTAAAGGGATACTATCGTATACTATTCGTTCAAAAAATGCGTGCATTTCAGAGACTGGTTCTAGAATGTTTTTGTAAGCAGAAAACCACCAAAATTACATTAAAGTTTCCGAAAATCATCGAAATGCATCTAAATTCATCTTCCCAATGCATACAGTTAGCTATGTGACAGGTAAATAAATGAGAAAAAAGCAATTACAGCAAAGAGAAAAATTCAAATTCGTTCACACTCACTTTGGGATTGAACTCACAACCCTCAGCATACGCTCTGAGTGTTGTTCCTGCATGCCACCACACCTTACAAGGAATATATGTTAATTTATTCTATATGTACAGGTTATTCCTAGCCAGTGCGATTTATGATTGCATAAATATGTACACCATTGTACACGGCCAAGGGTACAGTAGCAGCTGAGCCGTATCTACTCTTTGTTAATACAACACTTACAATACATCATGGCTACCAGCCGGGGTTATTTAACTGTAACACAATAATACAATGCAATACGAGTGTCAGCAAGCCTGTCGGTAGTATACTATAGTATACTACAAAACATCACAGCTACTAGCTGGGGTACGTTATGTAATACAATGCAATACGACTGTCAGCTGAGCCTGTCGGTAGTATACTACCACAATACATCAAGGCTACCAGCTGGCAATACGACTAATACATTAAGGAAGTATTCGTAATTACGCTAACACTGAATGCTGGCTCGCGTTGCTCATGTCATGTTAGTCATGGCAACACGATTATGTGATATTTTTTTTTAATTTTTGATTTTTTGTACAAACGTGCAAACAATAGATGAAACTTGAACACTTTTAAATACAGAACTATCAATTTGGGTACTTTACTGTACCGCAAGTATTTGATGGCGTGTGTTCTGATGGTTTTTCATTCCTTTATTGGTGTGTTTTGATGGTGTATGTATTCAGTGATTGCTCCGGTATGGTAAAGTGTAAAATTTCCATCAATCTCTAAAATACTAGTAGGTATATTATTTTGTTTTCCATGGGCTTTATTTTAATGTAAAATTCAAAACGAAACTCTATGTAAAACGTTTTTAAATGTGAATTGAAATCAACTGCTTTTTGCCGATATAATTAAAACTCTTCAACTTGAGCTTCAACTTATTACTCACACTTTGAAAGTAAATAAAGTAATTCGTACAGGACGCTAATGAAAATAATTTGCTTTCCTTTTTATCATGAACTTCTACAAACGTTAATTTAACTAAGAAACTTTCGCATACAATGCATACGAAAGATTTAAACAACAAGAACAAAGTCTATAATATTAAATACAATTAAGTCGTACATAAACAATTGAAACAAACTTGCCCTATACTTTAGGATTTCTCATGCTAAATTAATTCTTATTAATGTTCACGTTTAAAAATTGAAAAAATGTTGTACAATTTGTTATGAGAAACGATTTTCCAAGCTTTTTTACATTTTCCCCTTCATCACTCCTGGCAACAGCCATATTTTTAGATCAGTGAGATGACCACCCATACACCATGCGCCTGTGATAGTTGATGAACTTTAGACTTTGCTAGTGCGCTCTAGTGCGTTCCTTTCCCCAGGTGTAAATAGCCGGACAGAATTATTACCCTCGCCCCGGGCTTATGTCCCCGAATGGAGCTTTGTGTCATTGGCTCGGGAATAATAATGGTTAATAGCATTTCCACATTGTGGCTATTCTATGCTACAAAAGGTTACATGCATACATTATGACAACATTAAATTACTACAATATTATAGTATATTGGAGACATATACTTTACAAGAGATAATCAAATCACAAAAACAATACGAAACAATGGACACATTACATAACAATATGAGTGAAACAATTTCAGCAACACTCACTAAAGTTACTACTGTTCCGAATGTCTTTGGGAAGATCATTGAACACCCGAGCAGCCTTGCCTTGAAAGGAACCAGAGATATGTGGAACGACCAAGCGATGGGAAGACGATGAATGCAGGGGCCTTGGAGGCTCATACTCGTCAAGTTTTAGATACGAGGGCCAGTTGCTGGAGTGAATGGCTTTAAAAACTAGTTTGGCTAAATGGTAGTCCCTACGTTCCACAACAGGAAGCCAACCAAGGGAGAGGATGTCACTCATACTGGCATATTTCTGCAAACAAAACCTGCCACAGCCAACTGCATTCGTTGTAAACGTTTTAGTAAGTAATCAGGAATTGGATGACACACCACATCGTTATAATCTAATTTTGACAAAACTAGACTCTTTTTTCTGTGTTGGTGTTGTGTACTCAGGTGAATAATATGTTTGCGATGTTACTCTGAGTGCATATCCACACCGGGCGAGCTTGAAAAATATGCCCGGCCACGGCGGGATTCGAACCTACGACCTTTAGAATACTAGCCCAATGCTCTTCCAACTGAGCTACGCAGTCAGGGCGGTTCGAGTAAGTGATATTTCGGAACAGTATCTAGTTCCTTCAATACCAATGTGTTCTAGTAATATGAATTTTTTCTGTTGGTGTTGTGTACTCAGGTGAATAATATGTTTGCGATGTTACTCTGAGTGCATATCCACACCGGTCGAGCTTGAAAAATATGCCCGGCCACGGTGGGATTCGAACCTACGACCTTTAGAATACTAGCCGAATGCTCTTCCAACTGAGCTACGCGGTCAGGGCGGTTCGAGTGATATTTTGGAACAGTATCTAGTTCCTTCAATACCAATGTGTTCTAGTAATATGAATTTTTCTGTGTTGGTGTTGTGTACTCAGGTGAATAATATGTTTGCGATGTTACTCTGATGTTACTCCACGTAGCTCAGTTGGAAGAGCATTGGGCTAGTATTCTAAAGGTTGTAGGTTCGAATCCCACCGTGGCCGGGCATATTTTTCAAGCTCGCCCGGTGTGGATATGCACTCAGAGTAACATCGCAAACATATTATTCACCTGAGTACACAACACCAACACCGAAAAAAAACTCATATTACTAGAACACATTGGTATTGAAGGAACTAGATACTGTTCCGAAATATCACTTACTCGAACCGTCCTGACCGCGTAGCTCAGCTGGAAGAGCATTGGGCTAGTATTCCAAAGGTCGTAGGTTCGAATCCCACCGTGGCCGGGCATATTTTTCAAGCTCGCCCGGTGTGGATATGCACTCAGAGTAACATCGCAAACATATTATTCACCTGAGTACACAACACCAACACAGAAAAATTCATATTACTAGAACACATTGGTATTGAAGGAACTAGATACTGTTCCAAAATATCACTTACTCGAACCGTCCTGACCGCGTAGCTCAGTTGGAAGAGCATTGGGCTAGTATTCGAAAGGTCGTAGGTTCGAATCCCACTGTGGCCGGGCATATTTTTCAAGCTCGCCCGGTGTGGATATGCACTCAGAGTAACATCGCAAACATAATAAGGGGTTGTTGTTATTTTTGCGTCTGTTAGATGAGTGTATAGTTCGTACTCAACCATACCCTAATCATAAGAGTGACACTGAAGGTGTGTTGTATAATAAAGTAAATATACCCTGTAATACCTATGTAGTAGATGCAGAGTTTGATATGTTGTTATTTAATGCTTTTAATGCACCGTTGGATGGTGTGTCACATATTGATGATATATGTAATGACATTGTGAAAGTTTTTTTTTATAAAAATGTGTAAAATAAAGGATTTATATATGAAATATAAATGTGAAACATATTGTGTGGTTGATTGTCGTGAGATAGAATTTACTATTGTGGGGTGTGTGCGTATTATTGGAAATAATAATTTGGCATTGTATAGCACACGACTTTTTGAATTTGGGTTGATTTTACGATCTTTTTCGGAAAAAAGGATGTTAAAAATTTCACAACATTACCAAAATCAGTTAGGAGTTGGATTGTGTAGAATTCTAAAATCTCCTCAGTTGTGGTTTGTGTATTGAAACAGAAAGATGGTCAGCATGCGTACGTATTATTTTGAGACAAACACTACGCTTTACATGTTGAAGCATGTATTGCATTTATATAACGCTGGTTTAAAAGGATTGTTTTTTATAAATATATTCGCTACCGTGTTGGTGGGTTGCTTAAAACTGTGGGTATATTACAGTTTAAAATACGTTATTCTCCTACAACATTGAAACGTTGTTTTGCTGTGGATGGTGTGGTTATGAATGTTTTAAAACCTGTAAATAAACCCTCGGTTTTGACGCATATGCGTATTTGGGTTCTAAAACAATATCATGATGTTTTGGATTGTGAGGAAAATGGTGTATTCTGCTTTGGTGGGAGACAAAGAATGTTAATGCTATGCAACCCTACATCGATGTTCTGATGTTGTGTGAATCTGGTTTTAGTGATAAATTGCCTGGTGCAAAAAAAATATGGTTTTATAGATATATGTTGACAAAAGCACAAACGCCAGTATAAAAAACTCAAAATGTTTGCAGATGAAATCAGTGCGTTTCAGCTATGAATGAGTGCACATATCTATGTTGGAAACTGTCGAAATTTAAAACGAACCGGATGACAATTTTAAAAAATCATGGAAAATAAATTATTTTTATTTATATACAAACGTTCTAAGTTTAAGGGTTACCTTATTTGGTAATAGTATTTTTTAAAAAAATTTGTAAGTTAATTTCCTGTACGAAGTGAATAAAAGTGGGGTTTTTTCACGAGAAAATTATCAGTTTGATTTTGAACACATTTTTAAGAGATGCATCGGTGTACTAACACGTCATCTTATTGTACATAAAAAGAGAGGAAAAGACATCTTATTTTGTACATAAAAAGAGAAATAACAATGTAAGTTTTATTTTAAATTTTATTGATGATACATGTATGTTATAGGTATTGTGTTTCTGGGTCGCTTGGGTGGTCCGTGACAGGTTGTATAACCAATACCGGCGCCTTTTTGAATATTTGCTGTATTTTTGCTGTTGTTTTCAGCATTTTGGATCCTATTTTACGACCAAGATTTATCAGCTTTTGTTTCATACTTTTGGTTATTCTATGATTGTTAATTTTTTTCAAAATATTTCCACCGTCTTGTTCCCCCCCCCCCCCCCCGACCCCTAAAGTTACCCCCATATTGTTTACGTCTCATACTGAAAAGAAAGGCAAAGTTAAATTGATTCTAGGGTTTAGCGTACATGTTTTTATTCATGTATGATGTAAATATTTCACGGTGGGGAGGTATTTTTTGTGCAGCTTTTAACCGTAGCATTTGATGACCTTTTATTTTGGAATTATTGTGAAAGGGTGTACCACGAGCATCGTTGGCAAAACGTGCCGCAGCGTCTGTTGTGTGATTTGCATCAATACATTTTCCTTCACTATTGCACACCGTGTAATCGGCACAACCATCACTGTACTTGTTGTCAATTTGTGCTTTTGTTTTTTTTTCTTCCTGTGTATTTAGATATAATTTTTCTGCGTACTATAGGTGTTTTCCACGCAAATAAACCTTTACTACCACCAATAACATTTGAGGGTTTGATTCTTAGATTATCTTGTTTTGCCAAATGAATCCAACATTTTTTAGTATGCGCTGTACGTTTGCGACATTGTTGTTGTAACATAGTATTGCTTACACATCTTTGTGATTTTCGTATACTTTGTGGGGGGTGTATAGCTTGTCTGACTCTGTCGACATATTTCTTAAGGAAAGCATGTATAAATCGTTGAGATTTATTTCACATTTTTTGTTTTAATAAATAGCACAAATACCAACATAAATATCTTTGTTTTTTTTTTAATGAATTTAATAATGTTTTCTATTTTAGAAATAATATCTGCTGGTACAGCAACATCTGCTTGAAATACGGTTTAGTCTGTGATGTAAAGTATTGATGGAGCAATATCAACAGCCCATTCGCCAATACAATCTGGGAATATATAAGGTGAAAATAAAATGTTTTTATCGTTATCCACACATTCGTATGCTATTTTCTTTCCTGTTTTATTTGTGTCATCTTTTATATATATTTCAATGTGAACTAGTTCTTCACCCATTTTTTTTGTGATCCTACTTTGAGAGGGTTGTGTGTGTGAAATGGGGAAAAAATTATGTTTGGGTGGTAGTAATGACACACCGTTGGTGATGTTGAATTGTAATTTTGTAATTGTAAATAGAAGTCCTAATACAGACCTTGATTTTACAGATTCGGGAGGTGATGATAGTGAAGAACCAGAACCGCGATTAAATTGTTGTTGTTTTTCATGGCGACGTCGCAAAAGCGAAAATACAAAGATGAAAACGACAGTGATGAAGAACAATATGATTTAAGTGATGAACAACTTCGCGAAATAGTACGTATGGTTCGAGCTAATGATGATATTGAAGTACCACCTACAGTGTTTAATTTACATAGTGTTCGCATCAATAGACGTTTTAATAATAATGAATATATTTATGAGATTAACATAGGTGCGAATAATATGAAGACACTACCTGTTTTTTAGACAATTTACGTCGTGTGTTTCAGTATCTTATTAATTTGATGCGTTATAATGCAAATCTGAATAAAGATAAAGCTCGTTTCTACATCTCTCGAGCTCCGAGAACACCGTTTTCTACAGCTATTTTAAATGTCGAAGATTTTACAACTCAAATGTTTTTTAATATTTTTGAACGACATATGCAAAGTAACGCACAGGAAATTATTAATAATGGTTGGTCAAGTGTTGTGAGTGTTTATATTTTTCCCAATAATTATGTACCGACAAATGTGAAACGAAAGAAAACTAATCATCATCTGTATAAACGTTTGGGGCAAAATTCAAAAGAGTCTGGAAGCGGTCGAATTATTGCAGAAAAGCATGGTCGTGAAGTGAGAAATGGGGTATTTCAGGTGGGATCCGGCACAACAAAACATTGTTTTGCATTGGCGTTGCTTGTGGGGAAGTGTTTTTTACAAAAGGATAAATATTTTGATATATTGGATAAGAATAGAAACGCTGACTTGACGAAACTTTATACAACAGACAAAATAAATAATGTTTACATAGCAACGGGGTTACCTGTAGGGTGTTGATCAATTACACTTATTTTATGAGAAATATTTGGGTGTTGATAATATTGATTTGGTGGTCTTTTCTAAATCATTGGATGATAGTATTGTTCATGATTCTCGATTAGATGAACATGAGAATTTATGTCGATTAACTAATATTGTTTTTTGTGGTTAAATGACGGGCATTATGATTTGATTCTTTCACCGTATACTTTTTCACGTTGTAATCGTTCACAGTATTGTTTTGAGTGTATGCGTTATTTTTTACATGCTGAAACAAAATCTTTGCATGTCTGCAGAACTCTGCATAGTTGTCAAAGGTGTTACAGTTCAAATGTCGCATGTAAAAAGATAATTTTGAGATTTTGTTTGTTCAGAATGTAGTGTGTTATTTTTGAATCGTGATTGTTTTTCAAGACATTTGACAAAACGTATTTTCAAAAATTCTTGGGGGTCATATGTTTCACCGTGTATGTATTTCTTTTTTTGCCCTACATGTTATAAAACAGTCCCGAGAATGACTAAAATTACAAGTAAAAAAGCAACCAAACATCAATGTGATAAAATTTTTTGTGCACATTGTTGTAAAATGAAAGCAAAAGAGCATGAATGTTTTATGAAAATATGTAAAATACCTAAAAATCCAAAATTACCCACATTATATTTCTTTGATTTTGAAACGTGTGTTACTGAAAATGGTTATATGGTTCCTTTTTATTGTGTTATTCAGAAAGTTTGTTCAAAATGTGACGAGTTTGGGTGTGTAATAAATAAGGAATGTTTTACCCCATACAGGGATAATATTCATTGTGACGTGTCTGTGGAATGTATACCTTGTTGTGGTTATAGACAGTATGTGTTTGAAAAAAGCAACGGTGATATAGTTCAGGATTTAGTGGATTTTATGTTTGAACAATCTGTGGGTAGCGCATAATGGTGGTCGTTTTGACACTGTTTTTCTATTAAGCGAGTTGTTGGTAAAGCGTAAAATTATACCTAAAGTGATTATGAATGGTAATAAGATTATGTGTTTGGAAATTGAAACACATAAGTTGAGAATAATTGATAGTTTTTTGTTTTTAAGTATGTGTTTGAGTAAATTTCCCACTGCTTTGGGTATACAAGATTTAACAAAGGGGTACCACCCTTATCATTTTACAGATTTTGACTATGTAGGACCTATGGTGGGTTTAGAATATTTTGACCCACCACCAGAGGGTAGTAAGGAGTGAGATAAATTTGATGCGTGGTATAATGTGCAGAAAACTAAGACTTATGTATTTCGAGAAGCAATTTATTATTATTGTCTTCTTAACTTCGCGAGTATTTGCAGTAGACCTACGAAAATACCACCAAAAAATACAGCTTGACCGATACTATATATTCAGAAATACTCATATAATTTTATTGTTTCTCGCTCAATTTCAAGCAAATTTCTTACCTTGAAATGATCAATGCGGTGAAATTTATGCAAATGACATCTTCATGTGTGTCAAATAATCATACTTGTATTGTGATGGGAATATGGGTAAGATATCTTTGTATTCTCGTTGTTTCAGAGTTTCTTACCCAACAATGTTGTCTTGTTCGATCTAGATAGTGGCTGTCTTTTTTTTCTTTTTTTTTCCCTATTGCTGTGTTGGTTTATTTCGGTTATTTCGTTCTTCTTTTTTGCGTTTTATTTCGTTCCTTCCAGCGTTGATCCATTTTTGTGATTAAAAATTTATTAAATTTTGGGGTGTTTCCAATTACTCAGCTTCCAATTTGTTGATTTGTTAATTTGTGTGATTAAAAATCCAATTTAATGTTCCGTTTTTTCAGTTGGGGTTTTTGCATAGCCTTTCTTGAGAAAAAAAAATAGTCTTGGGCATTGAAGTTTTCGGATAACCTTTTTTCTTGAGAAAAAAATAGTCTTGGTTACTTTGTTGTTATCATTTCGCATTCTTCACACAAAGTTTTTGTGCTTCGTACCGGTTGACACAAAGTTTTTGTGCATCATTTACCCATATTTGGCTTCCATAATGGTTTTCTTCACACTATAGGCACACTAGGTATAAAAATACATTGTATAAACAGGGTTTTTTACCCAACACATAGGCACACTAGATATAACTTTATAGGTACACTAGGTATAATAGGTACACAAGGTGTAAAAAGTATAAACAGGGTTTTTACTCATAGGCACACTAGGTATAACTTTATAGGTACACTAGGTATAAAAAATAATAGGTACATTAGGTATAAAAATATGTTGTATAAACCCTGCAATGTTTCAAGCATTTCTGAAGCAGATTTGCCTTTGTTGTTTTTTCAAGTTTTTTTCCTTATTCATTCCAGAGAAATTATTTTCCTTTTTCTTCACACCCAGAAGAATTTTTTTGTGTCTGTCAGATAATTGCTGTTGAACTAATCTTTCAGCACATTCGAAATCTGTCTGTCTCGTTACCAATTTCACATGCAGTTCCCTCCTTATTCATGTATTGCCCTCCTTATTCATGTATTGCGTTGATGGGTGTTACCTGTTGCGTTTGATACTATGTTTCCTCCGCTTTTCATTTCTTAGTTGGGTTTTTTTTTTGCAATCTGACATACCTCGGGTGTTAAAAAATATCATGCAGGTTATTCGGTTCTTTAAACGTTGATGATAAGTCTTGTTGTATGTATTGCTATTGCCTCTTCTTCATATTAAACACAGGTGCTTCATATGGATGTTTTTCATTTTTAAGGATGTTTCTTTTTTTGTATAGCGTACATAACATTTATAACATATCTGTAATCTTTGCCATTGTAAAATCTTTGTAAAAATTGCTGAAAGTCTGAAATTATAGTTTGTCAATGTTTTTTTTTTCGTTTTTGTAAAGTATGTTGAACATTCCTTCTTCTTCTGTATTGAGAAAGTAGTATTGGGGTGCCAGTTGAACTAGTGGACATTGCTAATAGTGCCAGTTGAACTAGTGGACTTTGCTAATGAATATAGTTTCGTTTCCTGTTTCTTTTCAATCAAGTGCTTATTGAGTTTGTGTGCTGCTTACAGGGTTTATTTCAAAATGTTTAAACTACCAACCCTCATACACACGATCTTTGCCATTCCCCATCATCGTTTTTCATACCATATACTTCACCACTGCCAACTCATCTTTACCATTGCTTTTTTCTAGATAAATTATGTGGGTCGTACAACTATACCCTTACAACACCCTTTTATGCTAACCATGTGCGGACCCACACAGTGCGGTAAAAACACACTTGATAATAAAAATAATTGAGAACATCAACGAAATGATCGAACCTACACCTGACAAACTACTATACTTATACACAGCTTATCAGGATTGCTACGGTATGAAATGGTATCCCTACAATAGAGTTTCTTAAAAGCAAATTGGGTACGGCAACACTTTTAATTTTAGATGATCTGATGATTTTATCGGCAGCAACCACTAAGGATACAGAAAATTTAAATAACATAGCATCATGTGACAGCCATCATTTTAATACCTCCGTTATTTTTGTATGTCAAAATTTAAATTACGGTAATGGTAAATTGTGGAATGTTCATGTTAACAGTCAATATCATTTGATATTTAAGAATCGCTCGGACAGTAGAGATGTAGAAATGATTTGTTCCAATAAGAAAATTAAATTAGATAAATTAAATAATATTATGCATGATATTGGACAAAAACAACACGGGTATTTGTTGTTTGACGGGGCGGCACGAGGTTATGATAATACACGTGTACGTACGGGTATCTTACCCCAAGATGATACCATTATTTATGATTTAGCATCAGAAATAGAAAGATGTTGTAAAAAATAGATTTTGTAAAAATTTTATTTCAAGTAAAAAATGAATTACAACATGGTGTGCATTTCTATAAATGTTTTACAAATTTGTCCCTTTGCATGTTGACATTTGTCTTTATAAATCTTTGCTAGGGATGGAAAAAAATGGTAAGCCACTTTCTGTAAATTTCGTTCATTAACCAAAAGTTAATTTGAACTTAATTTCTTCAAAATAGTATTGGGTTGCCATTGTTCCAGTAGAAACAGTAAACACCATACGCCACAAGTACGACTAATGTAAGATTGTCATTGAATATTGGAATACATTGTTATATTGCATTTTAAATCTTGAAAATATTTCAACCAATAATTACGTTTAAAAAACGTTGGTGTTTTCCCATAACTATCAAAGAAAATAATATGTTTTCCATGTTTGTCTACGCCCACCCAATGAGCACCTGATTTATTAGGTTCATCTGTATTCCACACCCAACAATTTTCACGTATATTTTCCAGTGTAATATTAGCAGGATAACATCCAAGATAATAGGGTTGAATTACGGCATTGTCATTAGTCAATGTGGTATAGATGCCTTAAATAATGAGCCCTCTACGGGTGAAATGAGCAGGGCCGAAACTCTAAACATGCCAGTATAAAAACTGAAATTTGAACGGGCATTTTGCGAAAACATCCAACAATAGTACTAACTCGCATGGGACGAATTTTGACATTTTTCAAATAGCAATATCTTTGCCAATTTTACATGTATAATCCATGCTTTGTTGACTATTAACCGACACAGTTATAAACAGTATATCAAACATAATTTATATTTTGTGATTGCAAAAAAGTCATGCCTTGTTGTTTTATACAAAATGCATGTACACGTCAGTTGTGGTCAAAATCTTGTAAAAATTGCCAAAATTAAACCCAAATTTCTCCGTTTTTCTTTGGTGAAATTTTTTAAAACTTTGCACATTTTTTAGTATCGGCACAACAAGTGCAATATCCTTTTTTAAAAAATTAAATCGAAGGGAAAATTTTTAATATTGATTTTTGACGTTTGTTAAATTTTCTAAGAAACGTATCGATATCGATTTAATTTTTTTAAATTGAGAGGAAAAAATCATTATACAAGTATTACCTTTTATGCAAACTTTTAAAAAATTCACCGAAGGGAATTTTTAAAATGACCTGAAAAGACAAATTTTGAGCTTTATTCTAAGCATGCTGTTGCCATGACAACAGATTTTTAACACAAAAGTTGCAATTTGTAATGTTCAGGAGAACATTGTCAATGTGTCATGTAAAGTGAAGAAATGTTAAACAAACGATATGTAAAAATGTCACAACGTCCAATCTAAAAACATTCGAGTTTATCGATTGTAAAAATGGTATCCCTACAATAGAGTTTCTTAAAAGCAAATTGGGTACGGCAACACTTTTAATTTTAGATGATCTGATGATTTTATCGGCAGCAACCACTAAGGATACAGAAAATTTAAATAACATAGCATCATGTGACAGCCATCATTTTAATACCTCCGTTATTTTTGCATGTCAAAATTTAAATTACGGTAATGGAAAATTGTGTAATGTTCGTGTTAACAGTCAATATCATTTGATATTTAAGAATTCGTCAATGGTTTTTTTTGCATTTTTGTAAAGTATGTTGAACATTCCTTCTTCTTCTGTATTGAGAAAGTAGTATTGGGGTGCCAGTTGAACTAGTGGACGTTGCTAATAGTGCCAGTTGAACTAGTGGACTTTGCTAATATAGTTTTGTTTCCTGTTTCTTTTCAATCAAGTGCTTATTGAGTTTGTGTGCTGCTTACAGGGTTTATTTCAAAATATTTAAACTACCAACCCTCATGATATTGGACAAAAACAACACGGGTATGAGCCCTCTACGGGTGAAATGAGCAGGGCTGAAACTCTAAACATGCCAGTATAAAAACTGAAATTTGAACGGGCATTTTGCGAAAACATCCGACAATAGTACTAACTCGCATGGGACGAATTTTGACATTTTTCAAATAGCAATATCTTTTGCCAATTTTACATGTATAATCCATGCTTTGTTGACTATTAACCGACACAGTTATAAACAGTATATCAAACATAATTTATATTTTGTGATTGCAAAAAAGTCATGCCTTGTTGTTTTATACAAAATGCATGTACACGTCAGTTGTGGTCAAAATCTTGTAAAAATTGCCAAAATTAAACCCAAATTTCTCTGTTTTTCTTCGGTGAAATTTTTTAAAACTTTGCACATTTTTTAGTATCGGCACAACAAGTGCAATATCCTTTTTTAAAAAATTAAATCGAAGGGAAAATTTTTAATATTGATTTTTGACGTTTGTTAAATTTTCTAAGAAACGTATCGATATCGATTTAATTTTTTTAAATTGAGAGGAAAAAATCATTATACAAGTATTACCTTTTATGCAAACTTTTAAAAAATTCACCGAAGGGAATTTTTAAAATGACCTGAAAAAGACAAATTTTGAGCTTTATTCTAAGCATGCTGTTGCCATGACAACAGATTTTTAACACAAAAGTTGCAATTTGTAATGTTCAGGAGAACATTGTCAATATGTCCAATAAATTTCGTCTTCATGTCATGTAAAGTGAAGAAACAGGAGTCTCCTGAATACTATAGTGTAGTAAATTAAAAAACCCTAGGGAGCCACCTTAAAGCCAAAATATCCGCCATCTTGAAACGTTAATGTTGTCATCATAGAGATTATAAATAACACTAGAGGAGGCATTGTAATATTAATTCAGTAAAAAAAAAGGGAATGCAACTATTGGGGGGCAAATTCAAGTCCCGGATGTGTATTTGTGTTCCCATTGGTGACGAGTTTCAAATCAGCCAATGAGATCACGATTTTATATCCGGGACTTGAATTTGCCCCCCATTAGCTGCGTTCCCAATTTTTAAACTCGATGCCTCCTCTAGTGTTATTTATAATCTCTATGGTTATCATAGCAACGCCAATTGGATACTTTTGTGGAAAAATTTATATAAGTAAGGTACATTTTGTTTATTAACAAGTAATAATTGTCCAAAAATACGCATCTAAAATTCCATTTTGTTAAAAACTGTATTGAGCCACATTAAGTACAAGTATTTAGCCCGATTATTATATTTCACTGAGATGCTAAAAATTTTACAAATATACAGGTTTTTTCTATATTCTTGTCCCCTGATTCACCTGATTTTATCATTTGCATTGCATCATTTATACATAAAACTCAATTCAAGATTAGGATGTTCCAAGATAAAATTACAGCAACTTTGAACTTAGTTATAGGACATTTTTAATGTGTTGGAACGTCCAATCACATGAAAACAACCAACTACAATGTATAACTATATAAATATATATTTTCTAAATTTATATTAATATACAACATAATCAACTTACTGATCATACTCTCGCTTCACAGCCTTCACTTCAAACAACTCTTCACCCTCGAGCTCGGCTGAATATTTTACATGATTTTCGCCTTAAATATATATAACAAATTTGAGCTTATGTTGCAACGTTTTCCGATTTAATATTACAAATGAAATTTCCATTTTTACATACCCGTTCTCTGGAACTCCTCCATGTTTTCGAAACAATTCGATTTGGCACGCTTATTTGGCGCCTAAATGGCTAAAAGCCATACCTCTGGAGATGTTCCGGTCGTTTTCCGGGCTGTATCGGACTGTTCCGTGCTCTTCCAGAGATGTTCCAGGCTGTTCCGGAGGTGTTCCGGGTTGTTCCGGTGTTCCGGATTGGTGTTCCTTGTTTTAGTACATGCCTTCTTCACACTATAGGTACACTAGGTATAAAAATATGTTGTATAAACAGGGTTTTTTACCCAACACATAGGCACACTAGGTATAACTTTATAGGTATAATAGGTACACAAGGTGTAAAAAGTATAAACAGGGTTTTTACCCATAGGCACACTAGGTATAACTTTATAGGTACACTAGGTATAAAAAATAATAGGTACACTAGGTATAAAAATATGTTGTATAAAAATACGTTGTATAAACCCTGCAAATGTTTCCAAGCATTTCTGAAGCAGATTTGCCTTTGTTGTCTTTAAGTTTTTTTCCTTATTCATTCCAGAGAAATTATTTTCCTTTTTCTTCACACCCAGAAGAATTTTTTTGTGTCTGTTAGATAATTGCTGTTGAACTAATCTTTCAGCACATTCGAAATCTGTCTGTCTCGTTACCAATTTCACATGCAGTTCCCTCCTTATTCATGTATTGCTCTCCTTATTCATGTATTGCATTGAAAAGTGTTACCTGTTGCGTTTGATACTATCTTCCCTCCGCTTTTCATTTGTTAGCTGGTTTTTTTTTTTGCAATCTGACATACCTCGGGTCTTAAAAAATATCATGCAGGTTATTCGGTTCTTTAAATGTTGATGATAAGTCTTGTTGTATGTATTGCTATTGCCTTTTCTTCTTCATATTAAACACAGGTGCTTCATATGGATGTTTTTCATTTTTAAGGATACCTTGCAAATGTCCTTTTTTTGTGCCCGTTCTGTGGCCACTTTTCTCAACCACACAAGGGCTCTTTAGACTTTTGCTCTGTTTTATTTTCTTGACAATTTCCCTCTTCGTGAGTATTGGCATTTTGTGATTAACATCAGGGGTCGAGCACTCGCATTTAACATCAGGACCTTCGACGAAACAAATGTCGCATCTATCGTTATATTTCCCCCACGAAAATGGTCCCAGTTTGATTTCTTCGTAATGTATTATCTTTGCTGTACTATTGCTGCAGTTTTCTTCATCAGGTTTCCTCTCCTCGCTCTCTTCGTTCCTTTCTTCTACGTCTTTTTGACTTTGCTCTTCTTTCCTTTCTCTTTTAGTTATACTCCAGAAGCTCGCCGTACGAGTACGCGAGTTCTTTGTTTTTTTGTATAGCGTACATAACATTTATAACATATCTGTAATCTTTGCCATTGTAAAATCTTTGTAAAAATTGCTGAAAGTCTGAAATTATAGTTCATCAATGTTTTTTTTTGCGTTTTTGTAAAGTATGTTGAACATTCCTTCTTCTTCTGTATTGAGAAAGTAGGATTGGGGTGCCAGTTGAACTAGTGGACATTGCTAATAGTGCCAGTTGAACTAGTGGACTTTGCTAATGAATATAGTTTCGTTTCCTGTTTCTTTTCAATCAAGTGCTTATTGAGTTTGTGTGCTGCTTACAGGGTTTATTTCAAAATGTTTAAACTACCAACCCTCATACACACGACCTTTGCCATTCCCCATCATCGTTTTTCATACCATATACTTCACCACTGCCAACTCATCTTTACCATTGCTTTTTTCTAGATAAATTATGTGGGTCGTACAACTATACCCTTACAACACCCTTTTATGCTAACCATGTGCGGACCCACACAGTGCGGTAAAACACACTTGATAATAAAAATAATTGAGAACATCAACGAAATGATCGAACCTACACCTGACAAACTACTATACTTATACACAGCTTATCAGGATTGCTACGACACTATTAAACAAACGATACGTAAAAATGTCACAACGTCCAATCTAAAAACATTCGAGTTTATCGATTGTAAAAATGGTATCCCTACAATAGAGTTTCTTAAAAGCAAATTGGGTACGGCAACACTTTTAATTTTAGATGATCTGATGATTTTATCGGCAGCAACCACTAAGGATACAGAAAATTTAAATAACATAGCATCATGTGACAGCCATCATTTTAATACCTCCGTTATTTTTGTATGTCAAAATTTAAATTACGGTAATGGTAAATTGTGGAATGTTCATGTTAACAGTCAATATCATTCGATATTTAAGAATCGCTCGGACAGTAGAGATGTAGAAATGATTTGTTCCAATAAGAAAATTAAATTAGATAAATTAAATAATATTATGCATGATATTGGACAAAAACAACACGGGTATTTGTTGTTTGACGGGGCGGCACGAGGTTATGATAATACACGTGTACGTACGGGTATCTTACCCCAAGATGATACCATTATTTATGATTTAGCATCAGAAATAGAAAGATTTTGTAAAAAATAGATTTTGTAAAAATTTTATTTCAAGTAAAAAATGAATTACAACATGGTGTGCATTTCTATAAATGTTTTACAAATTTGTCCCTTTGCATGTTGACATTTGTCTTTATAAATCTTTGCTAGGGATGGGAAAAAATGGTAAGCCACTTGCTGTAAATTTCGTTCATTAAAGGACATCGGCAACGGATTTTTTTATTGGTTATTTTTGTTCACGTTGGTTATCTTAATAAGGATATGTATTTTATTTGGGATGAAAATTATTCGATTCGGAGTAAAAAGCGAATGAAGTTGGTCTAATTATGCATGCTGTCCGCCATCTTGAAGAAATTCCCGATATGCTAATTTATGCTGAAATGCCTTACTGACGTCATTGGCAGGGGAACGGATTATACAATGTATACGGCCCTTGTAAATAGCTATAGTTTACATGCTGTTTTTTTCTACGTTATTTGAGGAAATTGCATAAAAATGACATAGCAACCTAGTTTATTTCTATAAATTTCCATAGTAAGCGTTCTTTCGCCTTGCGGAAGATATGCGACGAGTATTTACGTCTTAGTGTAGGCGCGCCGAACATCTTGTAGCTTAACAGTTGACATAGGCCTAAGTTTAATTTTTTAAAATTACTGTGGAAACCAATTCATTTTTTGTTCATTTTTTTCTGGGCGAGGGTAGGTAAGAAATGATGCTTTAATTTTCTAAAAAAACATATAAAACGCAAAACATAAACGGACTATGTTATAATCTATATTTTTCCACAGACTATTGCATTCATGTAATACGTATTAAACCATGAAGGTCAAAGTTAAGCAATGTATATTGCCCTGTGTGCGGCTGCAATATAGTGATAGTCAACTGAAGACAAATAGAAACGTTAATTTCTTTCGTTTTCCTTGCGGCAAAATGCCTGAGCAGAAGAGCCGTAGAGCAGCCTGGGAAGAATTTTGCAAACGAAAAGCATTCAAACCCTCACTTTGTACAAGAATTTGCTCACTTCATTTTGCCGAGGAGTCATATGAACCCTCGCATTCTCCTCAATTCCTCGAAAGCATTGGATACACAGAGAAAACGAGTTGCGTAAAGCCCAATGTTTACCAACGCTTGACAAGCCTACGACCAGTGCTAGCGTTTCTAACGTATCTGCATCGTCACAATCAAAGAGAACAAGGAGACAAACCGAGAGGAGACAACGTCAAAAGATACCAGTACTTGAAAGATACATTTACCGATAGCTTTAATAAATTCTGCTTCTTCAATGTCCTTATTTTTCTTCATTGTTTCACAATTTAGAATCTTGAAGAGTGGTTATTAAAGTCACTTTCATCAACAGAGGATGAAAATTTGCCGGTTGCGACTTGCGAGTAATCTAAGCGATATAAAAGCAGACGTTCGCATAGACTCAGACGCAGTTTGCGAGGAAGAAATAATAGCCAGTTCAGATATCTGAAGACATTTAGTTGATTTACGCTCCACAGTTAGGATCAAAATACACTCAGAAGTCAGACCTCGCTGAAACACGTAAATCACACACATTCAAAACACAGACATTCATAACAACAGAATCACTGTGGTTTAGACAGTTATTTGATACAGCAACGACGCAGAATAAATCACTAGAACAAATCGCCAGAACTGAATAGGACTGTCAATGCAGCTCTAACAACTTTAGAGGCCGAACATACGTTAATCATCGAAGAACTACCTTCTGCACTACAAACGACATCATTAGAAAATTTTGACCAAACGAAGTAAAACTATAAATACCATAACTAACCCACAGCTAACTAAAACCAACATTGACCGCTTCCTTCAGCATTTGTGACTAAAGGGTCGTACTCATCGTACTCTAAAGCCTTATCGTGCGAGCAGCCACAATTGCACCAACTGCGCGATTTAAGACGCCAGATATTCTCAGCCTCGAATGCTTCATCGAAGTCTCAAGTCGTCGTCTGAGCCTTTGAGGACGACTCGCTCTCGGATTACTCGGAATCGCTTCTGCCCCACTGCTACCAGTATTTTTGTTTAAAACAGGTTCAAACTGATAAGGTAACACTTCACCTAACTTATTCTCGTGAATTTCGTCCATAGAAAGCCTAGAACCGGCGAAAATTCTTCAGAAAAGTTAAAACTGATCAAAAGCTATAGTAGCGACAGCGTATTGTTTTGCTTCTCCCCTGCCAATGACGTCAGAGGCCTCAAATGACATGAAAGATAATTTTCCAAAATGTGCTTTCAAAATGGCGGGCGATATGCATAATTAGACCAAATTCATTCGCTCTTTACTACAAATTGAGATATTTTCATCGCAAATAAAATACATATCTTGACTAAGACAATTATAGAGAACAAAACAAGGCAATAAAAAAATCCATTGCCGATGTCCTTTA